TGTGAACTGAGGGCATAAAAGGGACCCTTTTCATAAAGTTAGGGCTGAGTTGATACTTAGCAAGCAGAGAACAAGGCTTGGTACATACTAAATGCGCATTTCAGAGCTGCCTATTGTTACTAACACTGCCTTTGCTTCCTTATTAGAAAACTGGGAACTGTATTGTCCACCCACTTTCCAAGTGACCCAGCGAGGGCTGAGGATTTCCCGAAGTTTCTAGGGCGAAACGGAAGGAAAGGCAGTCATCCCTTCCTTCCTTCCCCGCCCACGCCGCGCACCTCCCACCCCCACCCCAGGTTTAATGGAAGAGCAATCAGTTTGCTGCGGAAGGCCGGCCTGGTAGATTGATATTTGACTTCCATCCTCCCATGCCCATCTTGCGAGTTCTTTCTTTAGGCCTGGTGGAGGTGCGAAGGGTCAGGGTCGCGGCGCCACGTTAGAAACGCGGGTAAGTCAGGCAGTTAAAGGCTCATCCGGGCGACTCCGTGGGATGAGAAGCATGTGAACACGTTAATGGTAAACTCCAGCATCACGGCCAAAAGCCGAGGTCTGGGGGTGAGCAGAGAAACCTGGAGGACCGGGCCTCCCAACGCTGACCAGGGCTCTGGGCCTCCTACAGCGCGCGTGACCTCCCCACTCCTGTGAAGGGCTGTGGCTCAGATGCGGACCGGGTGGATGGCTCCAGCCCTCGCCTACACGCCCAAGTACTGGAGCTTGGCAGGACGAGGTAACTAGTGCCCGGAGGCAGCAGCTACACCATTGGCACTGGAGCTTCGTGCAGGGCGGTTTCCCCCTGTGGCTCCCCTTACTCCTTGTTCCAGCGCCCGTACGCTGGCTTCGAGCGGAGCACTGTGGGCCGCATGACAGACGGAGCCCCCTGTCTAGCTCGCGAAGCCCAGCGGAGCCTCCTTCTCCTAAACTACACCGCTTCCGCGCAGGCGCAGCCCTGAACGGGAGATTTACATTTTCCCCACGCCCACCGTCTCACGTTATGTGAAACTTTCCGCCCAGTCTAGGACTGGGGATCAGGTAATACCGGTCAGTTGTGGGTTCCCAGTTGCTCTTCCTTCTGAAGGATCCAAGAGGCAGTGGTTAAGAGTTTGATATTTGGGATTTTGAACACTCAGGTCTCAACCCTGGGTCTATAATCTCCTACCTGTGTGTTTGAGCAAATCACTTAACCTCTCTGAACTTTAGTATCTTCATTTGTAAAATAGTAAAGACAACATCTGTTTCATAGAGTGGCTATGAATATTGCAGGTCAAGCCTGGGTTCAGATCCCAGCTAGGCCACTTGCTTGAGTTAGTTAGCATCTCTATGCTTTTGGTTCCTGTGAAGCAGGGGGATCTGTGAAATAGGGATATTATAATATTTAACATCAATAACATCATACTTAAAGGATCAGCATGCGAATTAAGTGTGATGAGGCTGGCAGAGCATTCAGCCTAGCACGAAATAAATGCCCAAAGTTTAAAGCATCTCAGTGTCCTCTGCTTTGGAATGCTGGGTAAATAGAATTTTAAAAATCTCAGCTCTCTCCTCCCACTTTTTTTCCTCTTTGGAGAGAAACAAGATGCAAAGATGTATGTCAGTGTGTGGGGTGGTAGTGCCTGGAGAGTTGGAAGGAAGTAGCTTGTGGCAGAAAGTTAGGGGACCCTAGTGGAAGTTGAATGCCTGTCCTCCTGGCCTTTTCTCTTTAGTGTTTAGGTACAAGGTAAAAGAATTGAAAAGGCAGAGAAAAGGGACTTGGAACATGGAAGACACTCAACAAATATTTCTTGAACAGAAAATGACATTTCAAAAATCAAGGAGACAAAGAGTCTGTCTGAAATGGGAATGGAGACCCAGAGTTGGGATTGACTACCATCTCTTGGTGCCAGGTTGCCAGTAGGCATTTGGGGCTCTATAGGAGCATTTCTGTGTGACTTTATGTTATAGATCTCAGGAAGGGGGCGTGACATTACTCTAGAAGAAAAGACTCTGAGGACTGGAGGAGCCAGAGGTTGCATCCCTTTGCATATAGAGGAGGGGCACAACCCAACAACAGACACGGAGTAAACCTGACTCAAGAGAAGTTAGAGAAGTAAAACTCAGGTGAAGAGAAGAAAAGAGAAACGATATGCACTATCTTGGGGCGAATTAGGCCTCCAGTATAGGGTTGGACTCTGTATATTCCCCAAACCTTGGAAATTCAATTTGGAGCCCCAAACCCTAAATTCGCAGACATCCCCTAATTATCTTCACAGCTCAGACCCTCTCAAAGTAGAGAAGCATACCTGCATCACCAAATGCCCCATCATTTCCCCCTCTCCTTCAACACCAGTATCATCCTTCTTTTCTGTTCTTCATAGATAATAAAATAATGGACAATGATATTTTTACCCATCAACTAAGAGGACATCCAAGAAAACATGGCCTGAAACAGCATTCAAAATGATGTTCTTCTGCTTTTTTTTTTTTTTTTTTTTCCTGAGGGCAGAGAATGCTGATATAGCCGCAACCTGGGGTATTTTGTAAAGTTCTAGCTCTTAGTCCACTATCCTGACTAAAAGGTTCCATTAGCAAAAAGGAGAATAAAATAAAACCAATTCCTCAGTGTTCTACCCCGGGGGGCAAAGGAGACATTGGTGAGAAGGAGCCACAACTTGGAAAAAGATTTATTTTTCCTGGCCATAAATCTCATCCCTTGTTCCTCTGCCCAACGAAGCATGATAAAGTCCTTTTCCATAAAGTATTCAGTATTAGAGCCACAAAGCTCCCCCAATCAGTAGCCATCTGCTTCTACCATAACTGCTGGTCCCGAAGCAGGGAAAGCAGCAGCAGAGAAAGGGCACCACTGTTAGGCTGCTGGACAAATGAGGAGCCTGAATAGCTTTGGTTTTCCTTGTGTATCTGTATCTATAGAGACAGGAGAAGAAAGGCTGCATTATATTGATACAACAATTGTAAAACAAAACACGGAAGAGGCATCTAAAGGGCAATATCGCATGCATCAGGGGTCCCCAGATAAAAGGGCACTAACAGATTTATAGAAACCTTTAATTGGTTTTCAATTGAAAGCTAAAGAGGCCAGGGTGTAGCTGTGAAGAGTGGCAAAGTGCTCTCCTTCAGCCCTCTGGAGGCGTGATCGATTTCATGAAGGGAGAAAAGAGGAGACCCTTCTCGCCCAGAGCTGCTGCTGCTTTGAGGGCAGGGAGAACTCCACATTAGCAACTTTCCTTTTTGGCCAGGGAGTTAACTGATCTGATCTTAACACTCTCTCTCTCTCTCTCTCTCTCTCTCTCTCCTCCCCCCCTTCTCTCTCTCCCCTCTCTTCCTTCCTCCCTCATTTTTTCCCTTCTTTCTTCCCTCTTTCAGACCAGTAGGTAAGTGGAAAGAGGAAGGAAAGGATGCAAAAGTAAATCTAACATTCCAGTTCTGGAAAACAAACAAACAAACAAACAAAAAAAACCAAAAACAGGCTCCTAATAAGGCCCATACTTTAAACCTGTTTACCCACTAGTAGGGAGGCCTCTGAAAGAAACAGGAGTCTGACTCTTATCCTACCCCAGCCTTCCTTTTTCTCCATTATTATACCAAACCAGTCCTTCCTTTTCTATACCAAACGGGAAAAGCTAAGCGTCACAGGAGTCTCTCCACTTAGTGCAGTGAGAAGTTTTCCCTTGTGCCCACCGGCTTTATTTCAGAGTGGATCTCTCCATTCAGCCAGTACCAAGCGCCTTTTCCTTAACCCCTTCCTGCGCAGCGCCGCAGCGACGGTGGCCCCGGCCACAGTGCCCACCCATGCAGCAACCTCGGACGTCCGTCTGTCTGTTCCTAAAGCTAATTTATTGGCCTGACCCTCCATTATCATTTTCGGCTTCCTAATTCATCAACGATAAAAGGCAATGACGCAAATTACGATTATGAGGGAACTGGAAGATGGTTTTGAATAAAATGGGAGAAGGGAAATGTGATTAATTGAACGACATGATAGTGAAATCTCAAGTGTGAGAAACAGGCCCCAAGAGATCAAACCCTGAACTCATCCGTATGGCAGGTGCGCCCCTCCAGTTGTCCTAGTGCCCTCGAAAGGGGACAGTCCCTAAATTAAGTCACATGGGTCCTAAGCCTTCGGAAGAGACAGAACTGGGTTCCCACTCCAGCTCCCAACCACACTGTGCCTGAGGCCCTTCCTCCAATCCTACCCCTTTCTCCAATCCCCATCACTCACTTTGCCGCCGCCCCTGTCGACTTTCCGGGCTCCTTGCCGGTGAGTCTACTCCACTTCAGGACCGCATTTTTATTGAAGTGCACCCTATTATTTCGCTAATGAGCCACGGGTCTCCTCAGTTTCCCTTCTGTCCTTGCACATTCCTCTAGCGAGGCTAACTTATGAAATTGCAGGAAAACAAGTCTAGTAGGTCAGAGATCGCATTTGCTCGTGTAAGGGATTAATAAAGCTCTTGTCTGATGCTGCTTTTTAGAATTACGTTCGGGATTAAAAGACAGACTCAACACAGGCACACATTTTGCATCCGCTGGTCGTTGTGATTAATTTTTCCGAGGGGATTTGGGCCGGGAGCTTACGGAACGTGCTCTCTGGGTCTAAAACCCGACGACCTCGGCGCACGGGCGAGCGGAGGGTCTGGGGGCACTGTGGGCACGCGCCAGAACACTGGGGGATTAGAGAGGACATCGGACGGGCCCGGAGATGCCAGCCACTGCGGCCTTTCAATGTCCCTTCCCTCCCCTTCCCCACCCCCAGCGCAACTGCTTCTGAAAAAAACGGTGAAGACTGTCCGGGGAGGCTGTCTTTAGGGTTCTGGAGAGCGGTAGAGAGGGAGAGAAAGAGACAGAGAGAGAGAGAGAGAGAGAGAGAGAGAGACTCTTGACTGTCATGATTTTTCGGTGGGAGAAAGGGGCTCAGTACTAAGCCACTGAACTTCAAGCATCCGTCTTGCAAGGGAAATCCCCAGCTCTGCATTCCAGGGAAGCGCTGCTCCAAACGCATAACTCACCCCCCAATCAAACAGTCGCCGTGCCCTGTCCCTCGAAAAGAATAACTTCTATCTCTGAGAGCTGCCATTCTCAGGGCTGCTTTCGCGAGCACCCAGGGAGGCACCTAAGGAGAGGAGCCAGAGCCAGAGTCTGAGTGTGAAACACGTCCATCCCCTCCACACTACCTCCCGGCAGGCGACAAAACCTCCCCCCACGCCAGTGATCAGAAAAGAGAAGGAAAAGTGCCGGGGTGCAAGCGGGGAGGGAGGGGGAAGTAAGACAACAAGGGCAGAGAGAAAGATAGAGAGACGAAGAGAGGGAGAGGGAGAGGGAGAGAGAGAGAGAGAGATAGAGAAGCAAAAAGGAAACGAGAGAGGAGTACAGTTAGAACTGAGAAAAATGGGGAAGGGGTGGTAGCTGTGGGCGGAGGGCATTACCGCTTTCCAGCGGAAGGGGGCATCTGTGGGGCCGAGGGACCGTTCCCCGGGGCGGGGGCGGAACGCCCCGGCAGAGCCAATCCGGTAGCACCGGCCCCAGGGTGCTGGCGCCCCCTTCTGGCTGCTGTGCGGCCGCTCCCTGCTTCTCGCCGGTGCTCGGGTCCAGAAACTGTTCCGCCCTCCGCGCCCAGGATGAAGGGGCAGAGGGGAGGAAGGTCAATAAAGAGAGAGGGTTGGGTACCGGCACGCTCAGGCTCCTCCTTCCCCGCCCTGCGCCTGCCCCGCGGCTTCCTTACCTGGGGATTGTGGGGCTCCTTCCCCGTGAGCGCAGCTACTGCGGGCCCCTCGGCGGCCGCGCTCACACCCCAATCCAAGCCTGCCGAGGAGCCCGTCCGCCTCGCGAAATGGCCCCGGTCTCTGCTGCAGCAGCTGAGAGGGAGGGAGCGACCGCCGGCTGCTGCCGGGCGGCGTCTGGGGGCCGCTAGCCGAGCGCAAGGAGCCGCCATCTGGAGCCTAGGCAGCGGGCGGGGGTGGGGGTACAAGAGAAGGGGCCAGGCGGCTCGGCCCCAGGCGGGCGCGGGGCAGGGCTCTGGCGTGGGAGTGGCGCCCAGTCGCCCCGAGTACTGCGTGTGTGTCGCGAGAGGGGTGGTGTGGCGGGTGGGGGTGGGGGTGTGTGAGGGTCATGGCCCCTGGGGAGGAGGAGCGGAGGCCTGCCCTTCTCAAGTCCCGCGGATTACAGGGCAGCCCGGTATCCGCAGGTTTAAGGAAAGAGAGGGGACCATCCTGGCAACCACCAGCCTCCTCCAGTCATTCTCCCTCTGGGGATGGAGAGCCGGGTGGGCGAGGACAACCCAAGCACTCCTACACGCTCACGCACACGCTGTCCGTCAGAAGTGGTTTGCTCATTTTCCTCTCTTCCCACTTTGTCCATCCCACTCCAGGAAACATTCCTCCCCAAACGGTACGGATTTTTGGACGACTCCACCTTAAGACAGCTACTTCAGCCAGAACGTGGGACAGGCACTAACAGGATATCACCCTTGGGGATAAACACTCTCCCGTTTCCTGTGTACGGTGGAAGAGGAAAGAACAGAAGCTGCCAAAGGGGTGGGGTGTGGGAAGTTCATCCTTGCACATTCAGACTAGGGAAGAAGAGAATATTAGGGACGCGAATGGGAAGTGTAGTTTTTCCCCTTCCTTCCTTTCATTTCAGATCCCATTAGTGCTTTTATTTCTTTAATTTTGAAAGCTATTTCCCTTTCCTGAATCTGGATGCAGGCAGGGAGCGAACTCAAGGAAATGATGAGTATGGAGGAGAGCCAGAGGACAGGGGATTATGTCCTGGGAACTCAAACTCTCCTGCTTCGCCACTGTCTCCGAGAGAGATGCCCTGAGCCTTGGCCCAATGTAAAGGGAGCTGATTGGGTGTATGGTTGGTGGCGGGTGGTCTGAATAAGAAGTAAAATAAGGAAAGCCAGATCTACTCCCATCCCAAAGCATTAGAAGACACCCCTCCCCACCCCCCAGCTGTCTTGTGTCCGGCAGAATGGCATTATGTAAAAGATCTGGCATGTCACCCAGTGGCACATCTGGTAGGTGTAGATGGCATTCATTAGCACGGGGCTTCTACTCTGCAGCATGCCAAAGCTCTGACAGAGATGCCCGCTGCCAATCATTCATTGGCTGCCAATCCCCAAGCGCGGCCGGGCGGGATGGCTTCCTTCCACCCTGGCACCAGGAGTGGAGGAAACAATGTGTTGAGATAGAAGAGATGAAAGTGGAGCTGAGGATGCGAGGCACCCAACAGATGTATCCCGTGAGGAGATAACGGTGCTAAGAGTCATTTAGCAAGAAAGCATATGCAGGATCTCAGGAGGGAGGCTTGGGCAGGGGGTCTGCTTGCCTAGGACTGAGCTGAAGGAAAAGCAGGGAGCCCTTTCAGAAACCTGAAAGTTGAAGTTGCTTCTCTAAAAACACACGAAGACCAAAACCTCAACCCCCTAAGTTTAGGATTTCCCTCTGTCTTTGGTTTGTCACTTGTATCTCTTTTTATCTAGAAACCTAACTACCTCTGTAAAGGTCAACCTTTGTCATGTTTTTTTTTCTGAGGATCAAGATGAAGAGCACCTTCCGGTTTTAAATTTTGCATAATTCTCGTTAGCCTAGTAATTTGGGGGCTAAGGGGAGGAAGATTGTCAGGCTATCTTCAGTGTATCATAAAAGGCAAAGGTCTTATTTCCATTCTTAGATTTTCAGAGGGGATAAAGATGAACAAAGGAAAGCAAGGAAATTATTAAAATGGCAAAGGATGATTAAACACAAAATCCAGGATAGAGATTGTCTTTGAGGTTGTTCTTTTTCTTAGGCTAGGTGGCAATTAACAAAGTGTTCAGTGTATTGTTTTTCTTTGTGCCATACACATATTTTACATTCCTTTTATCCTTTCACAATTTAATAAAGCAATAACAAAACTCAGGGTTTTGACAGTTTGTGGAATTTGGTGTTTAAGTTGACTCTAACAGGCTCTTCAGTTTATATATATAATACATGTTTGTGTGTATTACCTACACAATTACACTCTTTGTAGTATATGTTATAAATTATTTGGGACATATACTACAAATTTATTCGTACTTTATCTAAAATTGAAACTTTAGTGGGCCATTACATATATTTATTTGCTAAATCTAGCAACCTTGGATATGTTGGCTCGTGGTCACAATATAGCTGCTGTAATTCCAAGCATCAAACCATTGTTTTAAACATGAAGAAAGGAACAGGGGCAAAGAGCTGTGGTTTGCTTAATCAATGAAAGGCATACTCTCACTTTCATTAGGCAGACCTGGATCACCTGGCCACATATACATGCAAAAGAGTCTGGGAAAATTAGCCTTTAAAGTATAAAAAGATAGGGATAAGGGACTGGGGATGGTTGTTGGGTTGCAATCAAGGGTGTCAGACAAAGAAACTGAAGATCAAAGAAGAGTTCATGTTAACATCAAACAAGACTATAGCTTATCAAGTTTTGTCATTGTTTTAAAAAGAAGTTTTCTGTTTTCATTATAGTGATTAAAGGGATACTGTTCTTGAGTTTAGCAGTTTCTTTGTGACTTTTATCAAATATTTCAAAATAAGGGCTTGGTCTTAATATGTTCAGAAGACAGCTGATGTAAAATTTATCTTATATTTAGATGAAATTAGTATTTGCATTAGTAGTATAATTAGAATGCACTTACAAATTTAAATGAAACAAAGAAAATGACTCATGGTGTTACAAGGACTGGGATTTGAATTCCCATTCTAAGACTCATTGGATGTGTGACTTTGGGTATTTTATTTATCTAAGTAATATTTCCCCATTTGTAAAATGGGTTAATGTTGATGCCTTGGGGGGTTATCATGAGGTTTAGAAGTCATGATACACATAGAAGGTTTTAAAATATGGCAATTCTCAGAGACCCAAGAGGAAACAGATTTCAGCCCAAATGAATCATATTAAGAGATGAGTAGTCTCCCTGTATCTGTAGTTCTGCTTTCTGCAGTTGGAAAATAGGTGAGTACAGTATGATAACATATTCTGAGAGTGAGAGAGAAAGGAAGACTACATTTTCATAACTTTTATTATAGTATGTGATGGTTAATACTGTCAACTTGATTGGATTGAAGGATACAAAATATTGATCCTGGGTGTGTCTGTGAGGGTGTTACCAAAAGAAATTAACATTTGAGCCAGTGGGCCGGGGAAGGCAGATCCACCCTTAATCTGGTGGGCACAATCAAATCAACTGCCAGCAAATATAAAGCAGGCAGGAAAAACGTGAAGAGGAGAGACTGACTGAGCCTCCAAGCCTACATCTTTCTCCTGTGCTGGATACTTCCTGCCCTTGAACATCAGACTCCAAATTCTTCAGTTTTGGGACTTGGACTGGGGTCTCCTTGCTCCTTAGCTTGCAGACAGCCTTTTGTGGGACATGTGATTGTGTAAGTTAATACTTAATAAGCCCGTGTGTGTGTGTATGAGGCAAGGAGTTTGCTGATTCTATACGTAATACCTTTGACCATATGTGGACAAGGAACAGAATGAAGGTGGTTGGTTGCTCCTAAGTTCAGTGGACAAAATGATGAAAGAAATGATGAACTCAGGGATTCTGTCTCCTGGCTTCAGAAGCAGATACTGAGCCTCAAATCTGCTAAGCTTGCACTAAGTGAGAGTCTTATCTCCTGTAGAGAAAGAGCTAAAATTGTGGAAAAACAGACGCAAGCTCTTATCATGCAAGTGACTGACCTGCAATGAAAGATGCATGCACAGCCCTGCCAGGTGTCTACTGTTAAAGTGAGGGCATTGATTGGAAAATAATGGGACCCCGGAACTTGGAATGGCGATGTGTGGGAGGACCCTGATGAAGCTGGGGACACTGAGTTTGTAAACCCTGATGAACCTTTTTGCCAGAAGAAACAGATTCCCTATCCACACTAGTGACAACATCCCCTCCCTAACCTAGGCAGCTATCAGCTTTTCCACCTTTATCTGAGGAGATAAATCCTGTGCTGCCTGAGGCAACAGTGATGGCCTCCTCTGACGCAGTTATCAGACAAGATAATGTTGATTCTCCTCAGCAGCCCCTCCCAACTCTTTTGTTTGTTTCTAGACCTATAACTAGACTGAAGTCCCGGAGGGCCCCTAGAGGTGAGGTTGAGAGTGTGACCCATGAAGAGGGACACTATACTTGAAAAAGAACTGTTTGAGTTCTCTAATTTACATAAACAGAAATCTGGAGAACAGGCATGGATATTAAGGGTATGGGATGACAGTGGAAGAAACATAGAGTTAGATCAGGCTGAATTTATTGATTTGGCCCACTAAGTAGGGACTCTGCATTTAATATTGCAGCTTGGGGAGTTCAAAAGGTTCAATAGTTTATTTGCTTGGTTAGCTGAAATATGGATTAAAAGATGGTCCACTGCTAGTGAGCTGGAAATGCCTAATCTCCATTGGTTTGACATAGAGGAAGGGATCCAAAGGCTTAGGGAGATTGGGATGATGGAGTGGGTTAGTCACTTTTGACCTACTCATCCCAGCTGGGAGGGTCCAGAAGGTATACCCTTGACCAATGCCTTGTGAAATAGATTTGTGAGGGCAGCACCTGCATCTTTGATGAGCCCAGTAATTGCTCTTCTTTATATGTCAGATCTGACAGTGGGAACCGCAGTAACTCAACTACAAAATTTAAATACAATGGGAATAATTGGATCCCAAGGTGGCAGGGGCCAAGTGGTAGCACTCAATTGTCAAAGGCAAGGTGGGTATAGCTACCGTAATGGATGGCAGAGGCAAAGCAGCAATCAGAATAGTCTGACTCATGTAGAGCTCTGAGCTAATTAATCACAGTGTTCCTAGAAGTGAAATTGATAGGAAGCCTACTGTGTTCCTATTTAATTTATACAAGCAGAAATCTTCTAGGTTGAGTGGACAAAAGACTAATTTGAATTATAAAAACAGAGAATCATGACCCCTCAGTCAATTTCAAGACTTGGGCCAGTTTACAGACCCAGAACTCCTTGAAAGAAGGGGAGGCCAGGTATCCTTGAGGAAGGACCCCACTGCATTACCAACAGTTTATGCAGTGAATCTTTCTCCCATCCTTCCCCAAGGAGACCTCCAGCCTTTTGCCAGCATAACTGTGCACTGGGGAAAGGGTAATGATCAGACATGTTAGGGACTATTGGACACTAGCTCTCAGCTGACGTTGATTCCAGGGGCCCCAAAATGTCATTGTGGTCCTCCAGTTAAAGTAGGAGCTTATGGAGGTCAGGTAATTAATGGAGTTTTAGCTCAGGTCTGACTTACCGTGGGTCCAATGGGTTCCCGGACTTATCCTGTGGTCATTTCCCCAGTGCCAGAATGCATAATTGGCATAGATATACTTAGCAGCTGGCAGAACCCACACATTGGCTCCCTGACTGGTAGAGTGAGGGCAATTTTGTTAGGAAAGGCCAAATGGAATCCATTAGAGCTGCCTCTACCTAGAAAATTAGTAAACAAAAAAAAAATATTGCAACCCTGGAGGTCTTGTGGAGATTAGTGCCACCATCAAGGACTTGAAAGACGCAGGGGTGATGATTCCCACCATATCCCCATTCGACCCTCCCATTTAGCCTGTGCAGAAGACAGATGGACCTTGGAGTATAACAGTAGATTGTTGTAATCTTAACCAAATGGTGACTCCAATTGCGGCTGCTGTACCAGATGTGGTTTCATTACTTGAGCAAATTAACACATCTCCTGATACCTGATATAGCCATTGACCTGGTAAATGCCTTTTCTCCATTCCTGTCCATCAGGCTCACCAGAAGCAATTTGCCTTCAGCTGGCAAGGCCAGTAATATACCTTGACTGTGCTACCTCAGGGGTGTATCAACTCTCCAGCTTTGTGTCACAGTCTCATTTGGAGAGATCTTGATTGCTTTTCACTTCCACAGGATATCACACTGGTCCATTACATTGATGACATTATGGTGATTAGATCCAGTGAGCAAGAAGTAGCAAACACACTGGACTTAATGGTGTGACGTTTGTGTACCAGAGAATAGGAAATAAATCCGACTAAAATTCAGGGAACTTTTATCTCTGTAAAATTTCTAGGGGTCCAGTGGTGTGGGCTCTGTTGAGATATTCCTTCTAAGGTGAAGGATAAGTTGGTGCATTTGGCCCCTCCTACAACCAAAAAGGGGCACAATGCTTAATGGGTCTATTTGGATTTTTGAGGTAACACATTCCTCATTTGGGTGTGTTACTCCAGCCCACTTATCGAGTGACCCAAAAAGCTACCACTTTTGAGTGAGGTCCAGAACAGGAGAAGGCTCTGCAACAGGTCCAGGCTGCTGTGCAAGCTGCTCTGCCATTTGAGCCACATGACCCAGCAGATCCAATAGTGCTTGAGGTGTCTGGCAGATAGGGACGCTGTTTGGAGCCTTTGGCAGGCCCCTGTAGGTGAATCACAGTGGAGGCCTCTAGGATTTTGGAGCAATGCGCTGTCATCTTCTGGAGATAACTACTCTCCTTTTGAGAGATGGCTCTTGGCCTGTTACTGGGCTTTGGTGGAAACTGAATGTTTGACTATGGGTCACCAAGTCACCATGCAACCTGAACTGCCTTTCATGAACTGGGTGCTTTCTGACCCATCTAGCCACAAAGTGGGTTGTGCACAGCAGCATTCCATCATCAAATGGAAGTGGTGTATATCTGATCAGCCTTGAGTGAGTCCTGAAGACACAAGCAAGTTACATGAGGAAGTAGCTCAAATGCCCATGGTCTCCACTCCTGCCATCCTGCCTTCTCTTCCCCAGCCTGCACCGATGGTCTCATGGAAAGTTCCCTATGAGCAGGTGACAGAAGAGAAGACAAGGGCCTGGTTCACAGATGGTTCTGCACAATATGCAGGCACCACCCGAAGGTGGACAACTGCAGCAC